GGGGGAGGAATCAAAATATCCAAAATGAGGGCTGGAAGAACGTAAGGGACTAGGGTGATGGTGCATGGGGAACTGGTGGTGAAATTCTATGGGAACTACACCTGATGTAAAACATACAAACATACAAAAATAAAAATAAAATGATAAACCCACCTGGATAATCTAGACTGACCAGGTAGGCAATATTTACCTAGTAGGCAAAAATAAATTAATAAATAAATCTTACCCTTCAGAACCCACTTAAAAATAGTTTTTCCTACTCAGCCTCACCAAATTCTCAAAATTCTACTACTATAACAGATGCAACTTCCCACCTATTTAGCACACAAATACTATTCTACAACATTCTTTTATGTGTTTTCTGATTCTAAGTTTTACTTCCCTGTCCATGTTAGAAACACTGAGAAAAGAGCAATTTTATGACTTCCCATAACTCTCAAAGCCTTGCCAAAAATAATTAGGCACAGAAGAATTTAATCGTTTTTATTTAAATGCCTAAGCAGAAGGAACTGACTCAAACTTCAGGAAGTAACTGTGAGGACAGAGGGACAGGAAGTGACAGAAAACCTGAATACGGAACTGAAGAGCAGTTCAGAATTTCTTGTTCTGAAGAGGCAGCTGACAGAGAGGGAGTCTAGTGTCACTGTGAAGAGCGTGAGGAGCTCAAAGAAGATACTCGCACTTTTGGAGGTGGGTATTCTGAGCTGTGGGAAAGTGGGGAACATGGGCAAGAGCAGAAGCGGAAGGATCCCTACCTGGTCCTTGGTCCTTGATGAAAGATGAAGTAATTACCAGTCGACTTTTGACCTTTCATGGCCTTGAGGCCTGGCTGTGAGTGGCTATAGATAATGAGCAACAAGTGTGGGCTGGAGTCCAGGGAACTTGATTTAGCAGCTATGCAGGACCCCTGGTTTTTCTGATGTCTATTTCTTAGGCTGTTGCACCTAGACCCTAAGTTAGGAGGAGGAGGAACACAGGCACTGAAGATAATATCTCTGCCCTGGGAGCATATATGGCCTAGCAGGCTGACAAAACCCACATAGAAGACATTGTAACAGGCCAGGAAATAGTTGCAGTATGTACACCAGTGCTAAGAACCATTGGTGATGGAGGCCAAGTGAAGGCATGAATTAGAACTAGTTTCTGTGATTGTGGGATCCTAGACCCAAAATGTCAGAAATGGAGGGACTTTCTAGATTAGCTAGATTAACCTCTTCAATTATTTCCCCTCCAGAAAAGCTGAGTAGCAGAGAGTTGCAATGGCTTACAAATTATTTAAGTTAATATTTGTAAGTTGCCTAGCCTAGTTCCTGGCAAGTAAGTATACACTCTGTTGATTCCATTACTTGTTTTCCCACAGGGACTTGTTACTAACAGAGCTGCGTGGCTACCAGGTCTGCTGACTATGGTTCATGTACTTTTAATGCTAGAAGGCAGCCTTATGATGAGGCCCTTGGTTGCCCCCTATCTGGGCACCACGCCTCACCATTCACACTCTTGTCTCCCACCTCTTATAGCACCTCTCAGCCTCTCCATTACTCCTCGGTGAGTGAAAGGCATTAAATTGTCACTATATCAGAAACTCAGTTTAAAAAATATATGATCTTGGGAGGTTTCTGAGAGAGTCAGGTTCAGGCCTTAGAGGAACAGCAGGAAAGAACATAGGACCTTCAGTCCTCGTTGCTTCCTTATTGCTCATGAATATTTTGGGAACTTCTCCTTTCTAGGTTTCTGTATGAAGTTCTCTTGTTGCAGAGCATCTCAGCAGCTGCAACCATAGGTCTTATCTACCTGCTCCCAGCCCCCATCCCCAATCCCATCCCTAATGTTGTCCCACAGGGGAAGCCAGAGCTCTCTCTGCAGTGACTCATCCCTCAGCATTGCTGACTCAGTTAATACTTCCTCAGTGTCTTCTCCAATACAACCCTAAATTTCCCTTGGGTTAGTTCCCCAGGGGTTTTTTAAAGATCATGAAGAATGGAGTTAGTGAAAATGGGGAAGCAGAAAGTCTAGGGGCCTCGGTAAAGAAACTGGAGTGTCTTAGGAGGTTGCAGAAGGGACTCTTTTAGACACAGTAAAGAGTGGGGGGACAGACACATGTCAGATAAGGTACCTGACTAGGAAAGGATGGGCAAGGGAGTTGTCAGCTAGCAAGAGGGATCAGGATCAAGAAGTCTCATTGGACCCAGAGCAGGTAGGCTTTTTTGGCTGTTGCCTCTTAACCCCTGGTCCAGGACCCATAGATGCAGAACAAATGCACAGCTCATTTTCATAAGCAAGGGGCAGAGCCAACAAAAATTTGGGGCGTGTCCAATAGAACAACAATGTAGTGCTTCTTCAGGGTATTTGTTCAACCTGTAATTTAGTCAATAAAATTCAAGGATTTATAGTATGTTATTTTTGAACGAATTATCTTCTTCAGGAATAAGATTGAACTTAAAAAAATATTACTGAATAAATGACTTATTCCCAGCAATTAGGACTTGCCCATGCTCTCTGTTCAGTGTAGGAATTCCAGCTGATTGTCCCTACTGACCTCAGCTGTGCAGCGTCTGGTGGCAGAATGGAACTAGGACAACATTTGCAAAAGGGGTCGGAAAAATTCTCAATGAAGTCAAGCAAGTTCATGCTTAGAGCAGAGAGCAGAGTAGATGCTCACTTAGCCAGAAGCTGGACCAACTTGTATTTCAACAGCTAGCAAAGGAATCCTATGTAGAAACCTGAGTGAAGTAGAATATTCTAGCATTCCTTATTGATAGCCACTGCAAGCCTCTGCATGGCTGACCACTTGACATAAAAGAGTAATCCCAGTAATTTGGCTCCAAGGTTACTTAGAGTTCCCTACATCATGATGACTTCTCTCCAGATTTGGGTGGGTCCAGCCCATGGTAGTGTAGGTAAGTATCTCCCATCTCCCCTCTTCTAACTGAACAGAGCTGTTTTCCTAAAGCCCCCATTTGCTTTGCCTCAACTTCTATTTTTTTTTAAGATGATGAGGAGTGTTAGGTTGTTATATCTTGATTTTAGCCTTCTTTTCCCACATTTAACTCCCTTCCTCCAATGATTCCCACCTTCTGTCCCCCAGATGTGGAAGTCTGTAGTAGGACATGATGTCTCTGTTTCTGTGGAGACCCAGGGTGATGACTGGGACACAGACCCTGACTTTGTGGTGAGTCTGGGAAGTTTTATTTGGACATTTAAGGGTGGGGGTAGAAGGCCTGTAGGCCACTCTGCAATTTTTGAGGGGAATGTAGAAAAACACGGCCTTGGATTGAGATAGTCCTCATGGTGGGGCTGACCCCAAGGACAGTTGGCTTCAGGAGCACAGCATGTATCACCACTGGTGTGGAAGGAGGAGACAGGTGCAGAGGAGTTCAGTGCTATGAGCAACAGGTGTGACTCGCTATGCTGACGCTGAGAAACCTGCTAACCCGAGGTCTCATTTGGCTGTGAGCCAGGATTTGGACTGCACATGTGAAAATTAGGGGGACTTAGAGAAATCTATGAGCTCCCAAGAGGGATATGTCAGGGATGCAGAGTAGAAAGGGAGGTTTCATAGCTCATTCAGTAAATTTTAACATGGAATCAGAGTGGATTAAATGCAAAGCCTGACTAAAGATCCTGACTGCAGAAGGCAGCAGACGCAGGAGACATGAAGAGCTCACTTGGGCCATTTTTCTTGCTATCGCTTCTTGCTGAGTATTGTCTTTTGCAGAATGACATCTCTGAGAAGGAACAACGGTGGGGAGCCAAGACCATTGAGGGCTCTGGACATGCAGAGCACATCAAGTAGGTGCTGAGAGGATTGGGGGCAGGACGGGGCTGTGGGAAGAGCCAAAGGAAAACAGGGAGACTAGGAAGAAAAGAAAGGGAGAAGGTAGTTCAAGTCTACATGTTTTTATGTTTGCTTTTTCTTATATCCATGTCAAAGTGTCCCTATGTGTGACATTTGTGTATTTTGATATTTCAGCCTCTCTCCTTATCTCTTAACCTTATTATTTCCAATTGCTTTTTAAAAAATTTCTATTGCCATTTCTCCAACTGAGGGACTATTGCTGTTCTTTCTGTGGGACTCAGAGAGGAAGTGCTCAAATGCTGATGGATCATTTATTATTTACCTATCTATTTACAGTAAATGATCTATCTATTCACACATTAAAATGTATGTTCAGATTCATATGGGACAAAGAGGAGTCAGTAAAATGTCAAGAGAGAACTCAGAATAAGTGCTATAAAAAGAGGAATATCAGGTCTCATACCTGTCTTGAATGATTGTTAAAATGAAAATGTATACTTAACTATTTGACAAAAGTTGAAAACCATGAATGTAATTTGAAGAGATATGTGAAAAGCTTGTTGATCTAAACTATTTTAACAACAGTATTTAGCGGTCTTAAAGATTGTGATTCAATTATTTCACCAAGAAAGAAAAAGCAAAACAAAAACTAATAGCATAGGGGGTATCCAGAAGTTATGTGGGATGTAGTGTATGTATGGATCAAGATATTCATACTTGAAGATTATTCAGGGTCATCTTTGGATTTGGGGAACTTATATTTAAAAATAATAATTCAGACTCATACCCTTTTCTCAGTAAAGTCTACTCAGCCCTAGTTCTCAGTCCTTAGAATTATTAAGAGAAAGATACAAATTCTCCTGTACCTTCTGCCTCCCACAGCCTGTTAAGGAAGCCCTACCCTGTTCTTCTGGAAGGAGCTTAAGTTTGGATAGAAGATGTATTTAGACTTAATTTACATCTCTTCCATTACTAGCAATATGAATTTAAACACACAGCCTATCTGAATCTCAGCTTATTTATTAAATGGGCATAATAATAGCTACGCTACAGGTGTGTAGCTAGAATTTACTTGGTAAGCTCATATCAATGTCTAATGATGTACTTAGCTCCTCTTAGCAATTCAATAAAGCTATGTCTCTTTCCTGTCAATACAAATTATTCCCAAACTAGATCTAAATATCATAGAATAAATGGAAACATTTGGACAAAAATCCACTCCCCATCGACCCTCTGTAAAGACCCAGGATCTCTTCTGAATCTTAGCCAAGTTAACATAGACAAAATCACTTTTCACTGCTGATTCTCATTTTTGCCATTAGGACCGTATCAAAAAGACTTCTCAAGGACAACCACTACTAAGTCTAATTCTTAGGATTCTCTCTGGCTAGTGATCTAAGTCAATAAATCAATCTTTGAAGTCAGATGGAAACCACTAAGTCCTAGAGAAGGAGGGGAAGTTAGAATGGAGGGCAGTAGTTGTGAGAACTATGATGGTTCAAATCAGGAAAAGGAAGTGATTGTGGTTCTCACTACCTCCCCCACACCATGGCCTTTCCTTTTTAGGTCTGTCTGAAGTCAATTTAGTCTAAGAAGCGTTTTAGCAATTTAGTCATTTACTTACAGGATCCAACCTAGCCTGCAGTTACTGCATAGCAGAGTCTTAGGTGAGGTGCTCCCAGCAGGCCAATGTTTCCTTAAAAATGCCTAGTTTTCATGGGCTCCTGTCGTTCCCTCCATCTTCTCCTCATCACTCTTCCCTATTCATATTTTTTGCTGTCTTTTCATGGGATTAGTAAAAGCTCCTTATTCTTCTAGGACTGTGCTTCTTAAACTACCTGTCACAAAGGACCAGGTTTTTAATTTTGTATTGCAGTGACATTGAGTTATAACAGTATATAGGTTTTAGATGTGTCAACATCTCTATCTACTACATTTTGCCACCAAAAGTCTAATTTTCCTCTTTCATCACATAATTGACCCCTTTGTACCCACCCTGCCCCCCTGTCTTCTAAATAATCACTATTTTATTCTTTCAAATACTTTTTTTTTTTGGTCACTTGTTTTGTTTCATCTACCACAAATGAGTGACCTCATACAGTCTTTTTCTTTCTCGATGGGACTTGTCTCAATTAACATAATACCTTCCAGAGGATGGGGTTTCAATATGCATTTAAATCTGTCATAGACTGACACTTCAGTAAAACAAAATAAAATTGAATTGCTGGAGAACATAATGGAAAGAAACCATGGAAAATATAAGTACACCATATTTTTAGATACAATAAGTATAAAACTATTATGTCAAATTGTTTGTAAAAATATCTAAACACTTTCAATTTTGTTCTTATGTCATTATGGAATGAAAACAGTTGGGCTTGTGGACCCCACTTTGAGTAGCACTACACTAGAAGAACAGGCTTTCAGTACTCTCTGAAACCCACTGGCCTTTAGGTTAGTTTCTTATTGAGCTACTCCCATGATGGTCATGTCTGCTTTCATGTACCCTGACTCTTACACCAAGTGAAAATGAAGAATAGCACATAGCTAAGACTATTAAAATAGTATTCTGGAATTCTAGGAACTGGTCTCAGCTCTACTGTAAAATGGATTAGGGTTTAAAAGAACATAATTTTATGCAGTTTCTGGAACGTCACAAGGGTTCTGTGAAGAGCTATGGACAGGACATAAGAATAATGGCTAACATTTATTGATTTATTATGTTCTGCAAAATGTTTTTCAAAATAGCTCTATCTCAGAGATGATGTTGTTTTGAATTCACAGAAAAAATCAACAGATATATTGATGTTTAGCAATTTGTCCAAGAACATACATTGAGTAACTTGAGTTTAATGCTGTTTGATTACATAGATTGAATTCTTAGCTGCTACATCACATTGCTTCTATGCCTAGTTAATATATACTGCCATATCTGTAATTTTCTTGCTCAAACAGAATGCAATTCCTAAGAACTGAACTGTAACCTTTCTCTAATACTGTTAACTCTCTTTAGAATGAGCAAAGTACTCAGATTGGTCTTAATACTGAACATATAAGTATGACTATTTCTAAGAGTTTATGAAATGAAAGCGTATCTTTTACTTCATGTTTTTTTTCTTTCTTACTAAAAACAAAACCAACAAAACTGTACTTTCTTGAGACATAACCTTTTTAAGAAAACAGTTCAATTGTTTTGACCTTATATTCAGCAACACAGCAAGCTATAAAATATTTCCATTACCACAAAAAATTCCTTCGTACATAGGAATTATAGTCAATACTCCCCATCCACACCTCTGATTGTATATAAATACTGATTTTCTTTTTGTCACAATAGATTACTTTTGCCTGACCTAGAATTTCATGTGAATGGGATAATACAGAATATACTCTTTGATTTCTGTCTTCTTTCACTCAGCATACTGTTTCTGGCACTTATTTACTGCCTTGTGTGTGCCAGTCTTTTGTTCTTTTTTCTTGTCATGTACAATTTTGTTGCTATGGATATGCCACAGTTTGGTGTATCTAGTACCCTGTTGATGGACTTTTGGATTGTTCACAATCGGAGCAATTGTATATCAAGCATTTGGACACAATTTTTTGTTGCTGTTGTTATTAATGTGTATTTACTTGCTTGGGAAATGCCTAGGAGTAGAATTGCTGAGTCATATAGTAAGTGTGTGTTTAAGCTTTTAAGAAACTGCCAAACTGTTTTCCAAGAGGAATTTGACATATTCATTCCTAGTTGTAAATATGGATCTCAATTATTCTTCATTCTTGTCTATATTTTGTATTGCTATTTTTAATTTAACCACTCTTGTGGTTGTGTGGTGATTTTAAGTTGCATTTTTTTTAAGTTTTTTTTTTTTAATTTATGCATACAAGCATTGGGGCCAGAGGTGCAGAGGGGTGAGAGGATTCACCAGAGACAGAATAGGAAGCAGAAAAGGTGGAATTACTGCTGAGGGTACCAACTGGTGAAACAGGAGGGGTCAACTGCTCCATGTGGGTCAGTTCTCTGGCCAGGATAGAACTTGTGCAGCAGTAACTGGCTGTAGCTTGAGAGCACCGCAACTTTAAGCCCAGTGCCACAGAGAGGCCCCCATTAAGTTCTATTTTTCAGATGACTAATTATGTTGATCACTTTTTCATGTGCCATTCATGTCTCCTCACTTTGAAGTATCCTCATTTTTTAAAAAATTGTGTTGTTATAAAAAAAAATGTGTCTGCTCAACGAATTGTAAGGGTTCTTTATAGATGAATACAATCTTTTGTAAGATACATGTGTTTTACAAATAATTTTTCTCAGAGTGTAACTTGCCTTTTTTTTTTATTAATGGCATTTTCAGAAAATCAGAGCTTTGAATTTCTACGTCTAATCTATCAACATTTTTTTTTTGGCTAGTGTTTGGTGTATCTAAGATATTTTTACCTATTTCAAAACTGATTTTTCTCTTGTAAAAAATTCATAAGCTTAGGTTTTACTTTTAAGTCTATGATCTACTTCAAATTAACATTTGTATACAATGTGACAAAAATTTAGGGTCATTTACTTCCCATGTGGATATTTCATTATTCCAACGTCACCAAAAGACTATTTCCCCCATTGACATACTTGGTACTTTTGAACACATGCAGGTGGGTCTGTTTGTAGATTATTTCATTGATCTGTATATCAAGCCTAACCCATACCACACTACACAGATTCTTTTTTATAACAAGTCATGAAATCAAGTTGTCTTCCAATTTATTTCCTTCAAAAATAATTTATGTTTCCGTATACATTTTTTAATAAGCTGGTGAATTCCTACACATAAGCCTGTTGAGATTTTGATTGGGATTGCATTGACTCTATGAACCATTTTGGAGGTAACTGATGCTCTTAAAGATATTGATTTTTTTTCATTCATGGAATAAGTGATACCTCTTCATATATTGAGGTGTCCTTTGCTCATATTTTGCTAAATTTATGCTACAATGACTATAAGTAGTATATCAATTTTCAAAGGTCCACAGCTACTCTGTAGAAATAAAGTTGATTTTGATATAGTGACCTTGTAAAATGTACTTAATAGTTCAAGTAGTTTTGTTCTGGTATATTACTTAGGATTTTCTACATACATGACCATCTTGCCTGTGGATAAAATTTTATTGTCTTTTTCACTCACCTTCATAATTTTACTTTTGTAACCAAAAAAAAAAATGTTCTTTCTCTTAGTTCATATCTGAGTCCCTGAGTTTTACTTTGTTCTCTTAAATTGCATTTCTTTTTCAATTCCAACTCAATTTCCAAATTGAATCAATGTGACAAAGGTTCTTAGATATGCTACTTAGCACATTGAATGGTAATTTTTTCTTCCCCTTTGTTACTCTTTCACCTGACCATTATATCCCTACAGCCATCATTTCTGTGTCCTCAGAGTCTGAAAGTGACTTACACATAAACGTTTAATTAATAGTGACTGAATGAAAGAATGATACAACTAAGACCACTTAGAATTGACTTCAGTTATATTCTTAAAGAAAAATTAAAGTTAATGTTCTTTGGCCAAAACTTCATTCAAGTTCTATTTGTATCAGTATGTTCCTCTAACAAGACTTGCTGTCACTCCCTAGGCCAATATTCCTGAATGTCACTTTCTAGTTCCTTTTAAAATCTTGTTTCAACTGTGATTTAGTCAAGATCCATATAGCGATCACCAGACTCATCAATACATCATAGATTTTTCCCATTTGAAAATAACATTTAGCCTCGTTTTCTTTACTTTCACCTGAATACTTTGGCTGGGAAATATCAGACAGCCATGTTCTGGAACCAGAAATCTTTTTGACACAGGCAGTTCTAAAGTGTTGGTGTTGTTGATCTAACAACACAGGAGCTCTGCCTTCACTGTTGCCAGAGGGTTTAGAGCAGGCACAGGAACAGAAGGTTCTTCCAACACTTAGCTTAATTTCATCTGGTCCAAAGCCAGCTTTCTAATATTAGCAGTGACTAAAGTTGAGCAGGCTAATTCAGAAGACCTTCAGTGGAATTATACTGCAGGGCCACCAGGTGGATCTATTTTTCCATGAAAGAGGAGGATTTTTTTTTTTTTTCATAAACTATCTCAACCACTTTATTTTTTCTCAAATGTTATTAATTTGTCATTTACATAACTATATAATTAATTTAGAGTGTGTATATCTTCACATCTCCATATGTCCACCAAAACTGTAGCACTGATGTCAAATCACCTGCCACCTCCTCTTTTTCCCTCCCCCTCCGTTCCCTCGGGTAACCTGTATATTTTTCACAGAGTCTAAGAATTACTTTTCTGTGCTTCGCCAGTTTGTTTTATTTAGTTATTCATATTCCACAAATGAATAATTATCCGATAGCTGTTTTTCACGTTCTGACTTATTTCACTTAGCATAATCATTCCAAAATCCATTCATTTTGTCCCAAAGGCATTATTTTTGTTTTTAAATACCTGAGTAGTATTCCTTTGAGTATATATCCCACAATTCCTTTATCCAGTCATCTGTTAGTGGACATTTAGGTTGGCTCCATAATTTGTCCATTGTAAATAATGCTGCCATAAACATACATGTACATAAATCTTTTTGTATTAGTGTTTTCATGTTTTGGGGGAAATACCTAGGTATTACTACCTAGGTATTATTGGGTCATATACTATTTTGATTTTTACTTTTTAAAGGAATCTACATACCATTTCCCACAGATTACATTTTCAGCAGCAGAGGATAAGTGTTCCCTTTGTTCCACTTCCTTGCCCACATTTGTTGTTTCTAGGTTCTTTGAGATGGCCATTCTCACACCTATGCCATTATGACCCTGCATAGTGATGGGGAGGTGATATCTGGTTTTGATTTGCATTTTACCTATAATGAGTGTTACCTATAATGAGCATTTTTCAAGGGCCTGAGTTTGTTTGTTTTCATTTTTTTAATTTCGGGTTCACTACTCAAATGTTTCTAAGAATCTCTATGAGTCATATATGTCCAAATATCAGTGCTGATTGTCACTGGCTTCATAGCCTCAGGCTAAATAGATATGCAGAGGTTTTCGCTCTTCTATGCTAAAGTGCAATAAGAAAGAGAATGTTTTCCTATTGGGTATTACATTTGCTTAGGGGTGTCCCAAATCAAGTTATATGAGTCTTAAAGTAGAACCACAATAAATAATGAATAGATTATATTTGCTAGCCTTTACTAGTTTTTAGTTTTCACAGAAATGAACAGATTTGGAAGTGGGATAAAGACCATTTTTTTTAACAAGAAAATACACAAAATATTGTAATAGTGTTTTTTATATCCATTTTTGTTGACAATTTCCTAGTATGTTGTTGAAAGTTATAGTATCATTTATTTAATTTTTCTTCAATATTGTTCATATAATTGTTTCTTCATTCTTGCTTATGTACAATGTAGTAGTGACTGTCAGTAGATACTAAGCTTTGCCATAATTAAAATTATTTCCTTGGAAACAGACAAAACTAAACCAAAACAAACCCTTGGTATCTAACTTTAGAACTAAGGTTACCAGAGGGGGTAAAATGTGGGAGCAAAGGAAAAGAAACCCAGTGCCCTATGGTGGAGAATTTGGGTGTGTTAGTGTTAGATGTGGTATGGTAACATATGTAAGCAAATATGTATGTAAGCAAATAGGTATGACTCTAATCTCCTAAAACACTGACAAAGTTGTAAACCAATGTTACTTCAATAAAAAAAATTAAGAAAATAAATAAGCAACTAAATTAAATAAAGTGGAATTTAGAAAGAAAGAAATACTACTTTTCCCAAATAAAATTTATAAGAAAATGAAAAGTATTACTTAATAAAAAAATAAATAAAATTACTTTTTGGGGGTAGATTTCCAGACTAGAATGTGTTAGCAAAAGGATACATAGATATTTTTGAACTTCTTGTGATAGATTACTGAATTCCTAGAAAGTCCATTCAGAGAGGGAAAATGCCTTCCCAAATAGTAGGATATCAGTATCGGTATCATTATCCTTTATTATTTAGGAACATGAAAAAATGGGACTAAATATCAGAAGGTCATTTAGTGACTAAAATAACAGACTATAGGAAATAATACTGACTTTTAGCAACTATAAATCAGGCAATTATATGTATAACATGCTAATCTCTTTTTCTTCAATTTGGCACTCATATTTTGGAGGCTCAGCTCAAAATAAATAGAACACACTTCAAGATTCCCATTTTTCTGGGCAGATGTATTCACTGAATCCCTGAGCCAGCTATATCTCTGTGATTTTGTTACTTCTAGCATCCACCAACTGAGAAGCAAAGTGTCAGAGGAGCATAATGTGCTCAAGAAGAAGGAGATGGAATCAGGGCCCAAAGCATCTCATGGCTATGGAGGGCGATTTGGGGTGGAAAGAGACCGAATGGATAAGGTGAGTTGATAGGCAGAATTTTAGTCAAAAAATAAAAATAAAAAAGGTAAATTGATTTTCTTGTTTTTTTTTTTTAAGATTTATTTATGCATACAGAACTGGGGTACAGGCCAGGTTGCAGGGGCAGTGAGAGGATTCACCAGAGACAGAGTGGGGAGCAGAACAGACCCATTGAGGAAGTACACTGCTGAGGGGAGTAGCAGGCTGGTCAGGAGAGGTCTGCCGCGCCATGTGGTCACCTCCAGGGCAGGGATCAAACTCATGCGGAAGTGGCTGTAGCTTCTTAGTGCTGTGCTTTAACTCTGCACCACCAGGGAGGGACCTACTTGTTGGTTCTTAAAATCTAAAAATTTCTCAAAGATAGATTAACTCTTTGGGCTCTACAATACAGTGTCTACATATTGTCTGTACCCATTTCCCCCTGATTGTAACCTATAAGTATGAGTGGTCGAAAATATAAACCAAGGGTTTAGGAAGGCTGACCTCTTGTAAGACCAGCCACACTGAGGTTCCTAGACCAAGGTGATAGGAAACAAATATAAAAGGTAAAATATGTTTTGGAGAAGACCCTTCCTACTGGCGCAAAGGGTTAGGACACAGCACTGCCAGCTGGCCACAGCCACCTCAGTGCAAGGTGATCTGCATGCGGGGCAGAATTCTCCTGCCCCCCCCCCCCCCCTGCTCCCCTCAGCAGTGTACTTCATCGATCTGCCTGTTCTGCTCTCCACTCTGTCTCTGGTGAAGCCTCTCACTGCCCCTGCACCTCTGGCTTGTACCTTGGTTCTATATGAATATTTTTTTTTTTTAAAAAAAGACTTTAAAAAAATGTTTTATAGAATTTATGACTTTTATGACTTTACTTACTATGTCTATGCTACAACCTCTTATTTTCTTTACTGTATAGTTAGTCCTCTTTTTGTATATATGTTAAATCTTGTTTATATAATGTATACATTGGTATGATAAGCATTGGTATTATTTTGTCTATTAGATGCTCTCAAATGTGACTATTGTTGTTCCTTTATCCGTTAGCTACTATAAAAGCATATGAAAAAAGACTGCCTGTGAATCATATTTTCCTTTGACTTTATTAGCCTCAAAGATAGGATGTATTCCTATAAGAAAAAAAAGATTATATTTTCAAAGCAAAAAAATATCTAATGAAACATTTACTTAACCTTCAAGGAGTGTTTTGTCATTGGTGTTACATGCAAGCATTGTATTCTCCCATGAAATTCTTGGAAAATGTAAAATAGATAAATCATCACTCATTTATTTTGTTTTACTTGTATATCTATTTACATTATTGTTCATTTTACAACAATGTTTCCTCCCCCCTCCCTGCCCCCTCATCCCCATTGCTCCCCACTATAGTCACTCATTCTCAAATTTAACAACTTAATCTACTCAGATGGCAAAATTCTCCCAAGTGACTTCCCAGGACCCTGTAGAGGGTGGTATTTTGTAACAATTGCTCATGCCAGCAGGGGTTCCGAAATATAGGAGGAGGAAGCTTTCTGATTTATTCTTAGCCAGACTTCAAGGTATCATTCTTTGGTTTGAAGTATTACTCAATTTCCAGATTATGAAAACATCCACATTGAAATATTAGAAGAGACATATATTTCAAAATCAAGTAGAAAAAAAAATGGGTAGGTGGAGTAAAAAGTGAACGGGAATAGAAAAATTTAAGTTTTGTGCTATCTTGGATCACGCATAGTATTGTCTTCCCCTTTGGTATAACAAGCCCTTGACTGTCAAATATCAAGGCTCAGCTGGTACTGTTGAACTTTAATGGCCATATGAGAGACAAGATTTGGAACCAAAAAAAGGTAGGAAGAATGATGTAAAATATATATTAAAAAAAGAAATAAATAACTGTCATTAAAACAAAGCAAAACACTCCATTCCTGCTATGGTATCCAGTCATTGCTCTTTGGTGTCTCTCGGAGTTACCCTCATTTCTATTTTGAAGCACAAAGTCCAATTTTACCTCTCTTTTTTTTTTCTGGTTTAAAAATTGCTTTTTCTACCTAATCTCTATCTTTCTAGTACACAGCCTTATAAATTCCAAAATCTACCCTCTTGCTTTCCACTGTTGCATAAGGAAAAAAGAAAAAGCATAGTGTAATCAACTAGGAATAGGATCTATCTCTTACATGCACATTGTGCTTTACTGTTTACAAGACACTTCTAGGGATTCCCCATATTAGTTTCATGTGAGTTAGGAGTTTCCTGAAAGATTGAATCCCAGTGGTGTTAAAGAAGAATCAGGATATGCAAAGCTCCACAAAAAAGTGGCGTTGTTCTCCCATCATACAGCCATCACTGGGCTTAACCCACAGTGACATCCCTGGTATTCTTCTATCCCATCTCTGTATGGTTTTCTTTTTTATGATCATTTTTGTCATGTTGCTCATTCTGTCTTGGATTTTTCTCAGAGCGCTGTGGGCCATGAGTATGTTGCTGAGGTGGAAAAGCACTCTTCTCAGACTGATGCTGCTAGAGGTTTTGGGGGCAAATACGGAGTTGAGAAGGACAGGGCAGACAAGGTAGGTTACGACTCCCTGCTCACACAGGCCACCTCAAATCATGTGGGACTTGGCAGCACTCGCTAATCGGGATGGAATGTCCCTTCTGTCTTAGCTCCCCTCAGACATTGGCCTAACCATCCATTGTGCTTTCTTTCATCTTCTGCCTCATAAGCCATAAACTGAACCACCTAAACACTCAGAATATTAAGTTAAATCAAGACACAACTTACTAGTAACTCCTAAGGTGCAGAATCTAGACTCGCTGAGAGACCCCAGGTTACTGAGATCTGTGATGTCAGGTCTTCATCAATATGTTTGCTTCCAGTGCCAGACTGTCAGGCTCATCTCATCCCACCAAAATCACCCCTCTTGCTTTCCAATTTGCATGAGGAAAGACAAAAGGGTCACTGTAACAAACTAGGAATAGACACTATGTCTTACATGTGCATAGTGCTTTATTGTGTACAAGATGCTCACCCCATTTTAGCTGCATGTGAGTTAGGAGGGAAAAAATCACTAATTTTCTGTATGACCCACTGGACATTTTATCTACTTTGCTCCATTTAGTTCGCACAATATCCCAAATCAAGAGCCATCATTTCTCCTGTTTTGCAGTTGAGGCTAGAAAGGCAGGTATACTTGTTTTCATTTTATATTTGAAGAGACAATGGTTTGGATTATTAAGGACATGCCCAGAGTTAAATAATGACAAGCAGAGCAGGCAAACTGGGTTGGAGTCTAGAGCTGTGTGTGCGGAGCCCACACTCACTGGATTTTTAACCCACTACGTCTGCAACAACCTGGCAGCTTACTCTCTGAACTCTGGGCCCCAAAACATTGAGCTCTGGCTAAGCTGGGAGTAAGAAGTGAGGGAGCAGAAAAAGTATCTGCACTGACTCTAACCAATTCTCTCTCCTTTCCTCTGTAGTCAGCAGTTGGCTTTGATTACAAAGGAGAAGTGGAGAAACACACATCTCAAAAAGGCAAGGACTCTGCTCCCTGAACTGCTTTTCTGCTCAGACTTCACCTCCTAACAGCTGTTATCAGCCCCCGCTTTGTTCTACGAGTCAGTTCCCCACTGTTTCATTTGTTTTTAGATCCAAGTATGTGCTGGCTTCTTTCTCCTTTACTGCTTTTCTATAAGATTGATCGAGTTATTTATTTATTTATTTATACATACAGAACTGGGGTACAGGCCAGACATGCAGGGGCGGTGAGAGGATTCACCAGAGACAGTAGGAAGCAGAACAGACAGATTGGCAAATTACACTACTGAGGGGAGCAGCGGGCAAGACAGGAGAGGTCTGCCATGCCATGTGGATCACCTCTGGGGTGGGATTGAACTCGTGCTGAAGTAGCCACGGCTCTTGCTTCACAGTGCAGAGCTCCAACCCACTGCGCCACAAAAGAGGACCCTCAATGATTTTGTTCAGTGAGAACCTATGAAAGAATGCCGATATTTTACCTGGAAATAGAAAGTGTCTTTATTTTGTGTTGCTTCAGCAGCAATGATAAACAGGCGTCCTGAAACAAGCTATAGGGTGCAGGATGCTGAGAGCAAGAGCCAGGCTTTTTTGCAGAAAGAGAAAAGGGTGGGTGAAACTGAACGCTGAATTTTGGACTTTGAGGGGAATGAGCCCACTGCTATACTCCCGACCTCCGCCCATGGCTCCGATCTTATTAATAAGGCTTTCAAATGATCAGACCCTGGGGCACAACACCTCCCACCCCCCAGGTTCCCAGTTCCCTGTCGCAGGTCATACTCTGAGGTATACAGCCCAGGCTAATCAAGCGTCCTACTATTGTCTAATTTGAAAGGCACATTGGTTATACCCACAATTTTGCTCTGCTCTTGATTGTTATTTCTCCATTACTTGAAGATATTTCATTGATCTGGTATCTGTTTTGTATTGGCCTAATCATTTCTTTGTAGGAAGCACATTTTGTTATTCTATTTTGCTTGTTCATACTCTCATTTCTGCTATTTTAATTCATCTATTTCTTTCTAAAGCCAGGAATTTTTATCTTTTGAGTTTCACTAGTTTATACAGATGGTTATATTTTAGCTAGCATTTCTAAATGTGTCTATGGGAATAGGGAAAGGCATTGTTTCATATGTATCTGCTTATTCCCCTCTCCTTATACTCTATACTTTCTTCTTCCTTGAAGAAGGAAGAAAATGGACCTAATCTTCTTATCTTGGCATAGAAATAATGGAGAAAAGGAATCAACAAGGTTGAATTAAAGTTTCAGAAGATGGCTTACGATACATTTGTTTGTAATCCACCCATATGGATCCCTGCTGTCTTCCCAGACCCCTATTATCCTGTACCTGATCCTCCTGACATCTCTCTTCAAAAGCACTTTACTATAGCCTGAGAGTGAGTTCTAACGCTTGCTCCTTCCATCATAGACTACTCCCATGGCTTTGGTGGTCGTTATGGGATAGAGAAGGATAAACGGGACAAGGCAGCTCTGGGATTTGACTACAAGGGAGAGACAGAGAAACACGAATCCCAGAGAGGTGAGTTGGGGTCCAAGATGTGGGAAGTCACAGAATAACATGGAGCGCTCCTTTCCTTTCTGGAAACTGAAAATAAGAGACCTAAGATACAAAAAGACAGATGTACTGTAGTGATGATTATCATGAGGGCGAATTGGGTATAGGGTGGAAGGGGGGAGAGAGAAAATAGGGGACAAAAAAGGCAAATTAATTGAAAGATACTGCTAAAAGTAGCAGCAAGCAAGACAAGAGAGGTTGCTGTGTAGAGGGTCCAGAAGCTCTATTCATACTCCAGGCATCACTGATTGGTTAGGGTGACTAGTCTTGGGTAGTCCCGACTGATTACCTGAATTAGCAACGTGGGTCATCAGCTTAATGTCTGGCAGTCCCAGGCACTCACTTTCCCATTCAAGCCTCCCAAACTTGCTTGCTGGGCAAGGAGTGGGGGCTTCCTTTTCCAACTTGGGAGTAATACCATGACACCAGAAGGAAGAAGACTCATTGCATGAATGTGGGGTGGTGGAGTGAGATCAGGTGGGTAGAATGGAGGACAGCAAAATTAGGAGGGAGGCCAAAGAGAAGTAGTCACTGAGAGAGAGATAGACTGACCAGCTGGGTGTTGACAAGACTGTGTCTTGATGACAAGTCCTGGTGCCACTGTGCCTTCCAGAGGACAGCCTCTTTATTCCCTGGGACACATAGGTGGTGGCGGGGGGCTCTTCTTAACTTCTACTGTTTCTTCCTATAATCTCTCTTTTCATATCTTTCTCTTTTCTGTTTCCCTTTTCTTATTCTCTCCCTTCCATTCTCTTCCAACATGCCCTGTCTCTATTCTCTTCCTTCTCTTCCCATGCTAGCCTCTCTTTATCCTGATTGTCACACTCCTTCATCCATCTGTTTTCCACATCCCTGTCTTCTGGAATTTCTGCCAGTGCTCCCTCACCCCATACATTTTTATTATTTTAACTCTTTTATTACTCTCATATCTTTCCATCCTACAGATTATTCCAAGGGCTTTGGTGGTCAGTATGGAATCCAAAAGGACCGAGTGGATAAGGTAAAGCCCCAGTGTCCTGAGAATGTTGTCTAGACTGCACTGGGAGTGCACAGGGAGGAATGCAGCAAAGCTGGAAAGGAATAGCTGGGGTTGGAAGGGCCAGGCCCCTGAGCTGCCTGTCTGATGTACTGGGCTCCCCTCTGACTGCCTTCTGCATCTAATGGGTATGTCTCCTGGCCTGAACATTAACTAAGGAGACTGGAGGGAAGAAGAGAGGAAGGGAGAGATAGAGAGCGAGAAGACTGACTTCAAGGAAAAGTGGTGTTTTGAAATTTCATTCATTGATTGGGGTTACAAATAGGATAATATATTTCCCCATTCTTTGTCCTCCCCTATGCCAGGTCCTCTTCAAGTACTAGCTAGAAATCTTTTTTTTTTTTAAGATTTATTTATTTATGCTTACAGAACTGGGGTACAGGCCAGAGGTGTGGTGGGTGAGAGGGTACACCAGAGACAGAGTGGGGAGCAGAACAGGCAGATTGACACAGTACACTGCTCAAGGTAGCAGCAGGTGGGTCAGTAGAGGTCTGCCGCACCATGTGGGTCAGCTCCCTGGCCAGGGATCGAACTTGTGCTGCAGTGGCTTCGCAGGGCTTCATAATGTGATGCTTTAACTTGTTGCGCCATCGGGGAGAGCCCCAGCTAGAGATCTTTTTGAATTCTGGGCAATGGGATTAGGATATAAGGTTCTAGATACTTTGAGACTTCAAACAGTGGAAGCGATCCTACCACAAAATAAAAATATTGTAATACCCTGCCCAATTACTGAGCATCTCAGTTAGGATACAGAGTTACCACTATCCCCCCCCCACCCATCCTCACTGTGCATACTGTTCTACCCACAGAGTGCTGTTGGTTTCAATGAAATGGAGGCTCCAACCACAGCTTATAAGAAAACAACACCCATAGAAGCCGGTGAATCTTAACAATTCCTTCTTCATGTTTCTCAGCCCTCTCTCCCTCCTTATCCCTTCTTCTTTCCAGACTACCCCCTCCATATCTTTAGCTATTTAGATTAGCCAAGGTAGAATTGATCCTTACCTTTATATATCAGTCTCTATCTCCTTGAAAAACTATGTTAAGTGGAAAGAGAGGTAGATTGACTTTAGGGAAGGAACCAGTGGCAACAACAACAGAAAAAAAAAAAAACAGAAACGGGGTGGGGTGGGGGGAGCTATTGGGAAGAATACATAGGGATAAGAGTGTGGGATGGAGGGGGAGTGTGGGTGGTGGTCAGAGGAAGGACATACAGACTTCAAAACAAGGAAGGATGCTAGATAGGGAACCAGGCTTATCCTTTAGAAAAGACAAAAATCTGAGATTACTTGGCTCAGCTATATGGAAATTGAGGCTTCAGGGTTGTAATCCTTTTATAATCTCCTTGTTCCTCCATCAATACTTCTGTACTTTTCTTCCCACGAATATTTTTTCTGTCCATTCTCCTCCTGGGTATTTAACTGATTTCTATTATTTCTCCAAGCACTGACCCCTTCCTCCTCCAAAGCACAGCCGTGACCCCAATCAACCCTAATTCTTCTTGTCTGTGCCTGCAGCTTCTAGTGATGCACGTGGGTTGAAGGCAAAATTTGAGTCCATGGCAGAGGAGAAGAGGAAGCAGGAGGAAGTAGAGAAGTCACAGCAAATGGCCAGGCAACAACAGGAGAGAAAGGCACTGGTAAAGAGGAGTCAAGAGGCTCAGCAATCAGCAGCCCCTGTGGAAAAGCCAGTGGTGCAAGCCCCATTGCCCAAGAAGATCTCCTCAGAGGTAAGTGCTTAGTTCTCCAGAATCCAATTCAAGATTCCTTACCCACGAGATTAAGGGGTTCAAAACATTGGTAGAAAACAAGGCAAAGGCCTTCCTTCCCTGTGCTAGGCTAAGGCTATAACTGTTGTCCCTCTCTTCAGGGAGATTTCAGCTTGTGTAACTGGGTCTCATATATACCAGAATGTTAGGGAGAAGTCAAGATTTTCATAGTACAACAAAAAAGATGGCCAACCAGTGCAGCCAATACACAAGTAAGGAGCTGATAAGAAGGAGCTATCATTTCAGGTGGGAGCACATCTTGAGAGATGGGTTTGATTTGGGTTGACAGAGATAGGAGGTATGTACCAGGTCAGTGCAAGAGAGAAGAGGAAGGCTTATTTGCTTACTGTAGAGATGCTTCCTTCTTCATAGGCCTGGCCTCCAGCAGGGAATCATCCATCATCAGAGCCTGAGCCTGTGAAAATCAGCAAGAAACATCCATTGTCTACTCTGCCCTCAAGGCAGGATCAGCCAGAGGTAAACAGAGCCATAAAGATTCTTTACCCCTTACTCATACCCTTGTGTCCTAGGAAACCATCCTTGTTTGTCTGAGATTGACATCATCTTACTCCAAAAATTCTGCATTCTTACCTCCTCATCTTCGACAGACCAGGATAGTTTGTCATCCTAGCTATAGTCCTCCCAATAATGTACTTCTGCTTCAGTGTTGTCCCGATCTTCCAAAAAATCTGATTTACTTTCTACTTCCTTCTCCTCACACCCTTTACAGATGCCTCTGCATCATCTTTTGATTTTGAGTGGATAGATATAGGAGGAGAATGAAAATTGAAGATAGATAAAGGGTTATGGAAAGGCTGGTAGGCAGAGGCTGAGAGTAGAAGTGCCAGGATGGTGCAGAGTAGGGTCTGGGCAATCCTCCTTTGGGAAGTTTGAAGGAGACGCTCTTTTTGAGTCAAAGTCATCCTGCTCCACACTGTCTCTTCTCAGGACAATGAGGAGCCCCCAGCTCTTCCCCCCAGGACTCCAGAAGTCTTCCAGCTGAGTGAAGAGCCAGTGTATGAAGCGGAACCTGTGCCTGAGCCTGAACCTGAACCTGAGAATGATTATGAAGATGTTGCAGATGTTGGCACATGTGAGCGGGATGATGAACCAGAGGGAGACTATGAGGATGTGCTGGAGCCTAAGTCCTCTTTTCCTTCCACTGGTGAGTGCTGTGGGGAAAAAAGCATGGAGGTCTCGGGGAGGAAGTGGGAGAAGAATTCTCCTACTATTCATAAATACTTGTCCGTGTTCCTTCTCTGTGTTGATTAGACCATGCTTCTGTTTCTCACTATGCAGGAGCATCAGGTCGCCCAGCTCAGGCTGGGGCTGGAATCTCAGCTGTAGCCCTGTATGATTATGAAGGAGGTAGGTTGTGAATGGCCTGAGGGGTCTGGTGCCTGAAGAGCCTTGATACAAGAGAGGGGGGCGACTTTTGTGGGATACGAAGGATCCAGTCTTAGGTATCAAGAACAGCTCTATTTGCCTCACTGAGGCGAGAGTAGGTACAGGACCTGTCAGACCACCCTAATAGCCTGTCAATTTCCTCCCCAGAGGGAAGCGATGAGATTTCCTTTGATCCAGAAGACATCATCACTGACATTGATATGGTGGATGAGGGCTGGTGGCGGGGCCGTTGCCGTGGCCAGTATGGACTCTTCCCTGCAAATTATGTCAAGCTTCTTTAGTAGTGGACCCTCCCTGGACTCTGTACCATGACTTCTTATGTCATGGTACATGACATAAGTGACTCTGCCTCCATGCCCTTTCATTTCTGCTGCAGGCGTCTAGTAAGTCCTAAATTGTCTGATCTTCTAAGACACGCTTCCCTCCATTAGGACTTAGGACAGGGACAGCATAAGGAAAAGGTGGGTCGTCTTCTCAAAGAAGGTTCCTCTCTGCCCTGGATGGCTCATGGATGTTTATCTAGTGCTCCTGCCTTTCTCCATCAATGCTCTAATACCGCAAGTTCTACCTTCCTCTGTTTGAGAGCCCATCTTCCCTATTTACCTAGGAAGGGATATCTAGATTATCTGTTTTGTCTGGTTTGTTGTGTGCAAATTTTCTGTCCATGAAAAAAATGTCTCTGAATCTTCCCTCTGTTCATTCCTAAACCTGGAAATAAAGCGGGACTGAATTCATCTCTGTGCTGAGGTAAATAGTATTTTTGTGCAGCCCTCAATAGGCTGCATAGGACTCTGATGGTTGCAGTTCTCCTTCCCTTTCAGGCATATCCAGAAGATCTGATCCTACTATTGCCTATCCCTGCACCCCCCAAGCCAAGGGTTGGGTCTTTTCCTTCAGTTTTTCTTGAACCCAATCCAAAACACATCAGCCTGAGCACTGGTGGTGAGACAGAGTGACAGGCAGCTAGGTAGCGTCCTAATTACAGCAGGTCTGCCTCTATGAGCCTCAACAGTTGTGTGACACCTATCACCTTCCTAGGAGTAATGACTATACTCTGTTAAGACAGGATTGTTCTTGAAGAAGCATACAGTGGGGAGAGGCAGGAAGGTAAGATTTTTTTTTTTCCCCAGTAAAAATGACTAAAGGGAATACAAGCTCCAATGAAATGTTAAGAGGAGTTAGACGGAGAGTTGGCTTCTGTTTAAGAAAGTCCAGGCTTATATGGTCATATAAGAGGGGAGATGGAGGAAACTCATGAAGCTTCTGTGTGGCACAGAACCAACGCTGATAGGAAAAAAAGGGAAGGGAAATTGGACAACCAGTGATGGGCATAAAAAAAATCACTGAAGTATGGGGATGATGAAAAAAAGAGAGCAGGGCATAATGGTTTATACCCAGAGCCAGGCCATTGCATTCAGTAAGGTGAGACACAGGAGATCGTAGGCAAAATCAAAACAAAAATAAGGTTTAGGTGTTGGGAATTTTGTATTGGTAGGACAGGGTCCGGTTTTCATAGATGGGGAAGACAGTGTAATCAAAGAGAAGCTGAAATTAGCAACTGAGGTTTATGTTTGATTAGTATTTTACAAATTGGTGAGCTGCCCATGTACCTAGAGCATTGCATCCCTCAGGCTTATTCCTGGTTTTTCTTTTTTTTTTTTTGTTTTAAGATTTATTTATCTATGCATACAGAAGTGGGCTACAGGGGTTGTGTGAGGACTCACCAGGACAGAGTGGGGAGCAGAAAGGCAGATTGACAAAGTAACTGCTGAGGGGAGCAGTGGGCAAGACAGGAGAGGTCTGCTGTGCCATGTAGGTCACCTCCCTGACTGGGGATTGAACTCCTGTTGAAGTGTCTGCAGCCAGCTTTGCAGTGCTGTGCTTTAACCTATTGCACCACCAGAGAGGGCCCTATTCCTGGTTATCGAGACACACGTTATTCTGTTTCAATAATGACTTCTTTGCCAGTAAATTACTAATTTTTCTGTAAACCTAATTTATAATATTCACCCAAAGGCCTTTCAGAGTACAAAGCAGCTTTCATTTCTAGCTATAGAGGTATTGCAGTTTCTATCCTAAGAGGTAAGTCAGTCACCATAGACACACAATTTAATTCTTCAACTTGACTTGATATCACAAATAGGTCAGACTTTTACAGTGGTTTTTCCTATTACATCTCTCAGTTCTATCTTGTTCTTTTTCTTTATTCTAAGACAGAAACTGCTTTTCCAGATCCCAAGGGTCATTAGTTAATCAAAAAAATCAACTCCATTTGGTTCCTAACTTAATATCACCATGTCTAAAATCTACTTAGTAAAATAAAGAAGACCTGCATGAAATCCTAAACATTGTATTCAAGATAATATTTTGCAGTACTAAAAAGAGCAGCATTACTTACTCCCACTTCTGTGTCAACATTTAGGGCAACAATTTTCAATCAGGAGACTTTTTCTCCTAGAGGATATTTGACAGTGTCTGTGGGGGTTTTACCAGCACTGATTGGATTGAGGTTAAGGATGCTGCTTACCATATGATACACAGGGCAAGCCTTTATGTCAAAGAATTATCAACTTCAGAATGCTGATAGGTCCAAGAAACCCTGCTTCACAGATGTCAGTTTTTATTGTGTATGTTTTTTTTTTTTACTTTGTTCTAGTGAGAACTCACTCAAATGAAAAACCAGCAGTATCACCCATTTTTGATAGGCTGGTGTCTTGGCCAGTAATAGATGGGAACAATTATAAGGAATTGTTAGATTGCAGAGTGAGGGGTGTCCTGGGATCCCTAAACCTGCATGCACACTCTACACAGGTCATGCCATCTGCCACATAAAGACAAAGCACACTTTTACTGTGAAAGAACTTTAATAGGATAGCATGCATAGAGAGAGAAGAAAGGGTTATTGTTTTCTAATAAAACATCCAAAATTACCCATCCCCTTGTGGGTAAGTGCCCAGACAAGCAAGGTTGGCCCAAAGAAACTGCGGAGGTCTGGAAACTTGCCACAAGTCTAAGGCACCTTCTGGTTGGAACCACAGGAAATGGGCAGATGAGGCCAGACAACTCTGGGACAAAGAGAGCAAAATTGGAATACATCAAGGTAGTGGCTGCCATTGTCAGCCTCCCCCCAGGCTGCTCACCCCTGTCTCCTCCTAGCATCACTCTCAACTCCACATCTCCCTTCAGGTCGCCAAGACCAGTCAAACCAGCACAACTTTTTCACTTGTCTCTGCCTCCTCTAAGTCTCTTTCTCCAAGTCTTTTCTCTTCTCAGATCCATGCTTCATTAGGTGGGCCAGTGAACATGAAATTACTCTGTAACAGAACCACCATGCTCACATGTCTTTCATCCTAAGGTCTCCCAAGGGTGATGGTGTCTGGTGACTGATGCCACAAGAACTGAAGTTGGCCTTGTATGAGCTTTGCCAAATGTCTGGTCTCCTTGACTATCCTGAACATTCTAGCATGACACTGAAGTTGGTTTTAAGCCTTGAGGTCACTTCAGATAGCTTAGAGGGTGCTGCACTATGCATGTGTTCTCCCTAATCTAGATCTAGATTACAATTTTAGAAGGAAAGAACCTGATCTTTAGGTCATCATTTAAATGTTTAAGAGTAGGCTTGAAGCCATTTGTCCTATATTTTTCTATAAATATATTGTCTCCTCTGGGCTCTATTTTTCAAGGATTTTTTTCTCTTTGTGGCATGACTCTACATAACAAGCTCTGTGATCTCATTTTGGCATCCTCATCCTTTGGTCTGAGGTGCTCTCAAGGCTTCTGTGACCAGTCAGTTTCTCTACTTTGTCAGGTGAAGTTAATACTGTCTGGGCTCAAACACAGTAGGGTAACTTAACTGTCAGGGCAACCCCAGGTCCAGATCCTTCACACTGTGCACCTCTCCTCCTGGGTACCCAGGGAGCCACCTCTGGCCCCGCCCCTGCACTGTCTGCCCCACAATTTTGAAAAGTGCTTTGTGAAAACTAATAAGCTCTTCACAAAAAGCACAGACTGGGCCCTCCCTGGTGGCGCAGCGGGTTGGAGCACAGCACGGAGAAGCTGGAGCCACTTCCTCATGAGTTCCATCCCCACTTGCCCCAGAGGTGACCACATGGCGTGGCAGACCTCTCCTGACCCGCCTGCTGCTCCTCTCAGCAGTGTACTTTGTCGATCTCCCTGTTCTGCTCCCCACTCTGTCTCTGGTGAATCCTCTCACCCTCTGCATCTCTGGCCCGTACCCCAATTCTGTATGAATAAATGGATAAATCTTTAAAAAAAAAAAAAAAAAGCAGCACAGACTAATGCTGGTCATTGTTTTCATTACTCTCTCAACTCCTATGCCTTATTCATCTTCCAAACGGCATCAACTTACCTATCTATTCCTCAGACTAATTTATTTTAGAAAACAAAAGACAGAAAGGAAAGAAATCATCAATATGGCACTAAACAACTCTACAGAATTCTTAGACTACTCAGGTCTACAGGACATTGCATACTACGGGACACCCAGGCACACAGCATATAGAGAGATGCCCTCAAAATCCCACTCTCAGGAACCCTACCAGGGAATCCAAGAATGGTGACTCTGAGTGTTTAGTAGGTACGTTTTCCTCGAGGTCTGTCTCTAAAGGTGGCTACTAAGCTCTCTCGGGACTGCTCACGGGGTTGACACATGCTGGTCAGAAGAACTGGTTCAGTCTTGTGCTCCACCACATTGAACGGACAGTTTTTCAGGTGCTCAGACATGGAGGCAACTTCATTAAACTCCCAGCTCTTGACTTTGGAGAAGAGGCTGCTGAACTGCCAGATCTGTTGGGAAATATAAAAGTGACTTTTGAGGAAAAATCCTCAGGCTGCCTTTAGTTGAACAGTATAAGGAAATGCCTTTCAGTTCTCCTTCCTGTCCCTACCTTCAGAGAGTGTTAGAGGCTGTCGCAGGCATTTGTTGTTTCCGGTCTCCAATGTGGATTCCAAGTTACCCCTCCCACCTGGTAATCTTCCCAGACAGCCGTGTAATTATATGGAAATGACTAGGACCAATCTGAAAATTAACCCACACCCTTTTCCTGCCCCTCCTACCACCCAGCAACAGGCATCAGTTCTAGACTAGACTCAAATGACTCAAATCAAGGTAACTAGTAGCAATGAGACGCTAACACAGAACTTCTGTGTAAGACATCAAGAAGCAGATGCTCTTTTTCCCCAAGTGCTTGACCACTTGAAATGTGAAGTCTTGGGAGCTGCTGGCAGTCCCAGGGACCACCAAGGGAAACTGCCTTAGAATGGAGCCACTGTTGAAGAAGTAGAAATAAGAATAGAAAGTAAAAAGATCATTGGGGACATTTTCTTGACCTGCTAAATCAAGCCTTACCAGAAGCCATTTTCTTTGGACTTTTAGTTATAAGGACCAATTAATTCCCTGTATTGTTTATGCCACTCTAAGTTGATTTTCTACTTCTTAAAACTGAACAGCATCCATTAAACTAAAAATTAATGGAATTTCTAGTAAGTGCATTAATCATTTGCCTCTGATTTTATAAGAGGAAGATATTATGCAGTTCTCGATTATATGATTCTTCAGAGCAGGGTCTTAGCCTAACGTATGCTTAACGCTAACATGTGTTGCTTGGTAGTCTTACCTAACACATGGATAAAGTCATGAATACAGGAAGGAAAGTCTCAGGATGATTTTTTTTTTTTAAAGAGTGCCTAGGGACTAACTAGCAGAAAATATATAAAATGTCTTATACATAATCAAGAAAACAGATGCAAATAACTCTAATTCCCAATGACAGTTTGCATATTCTCAGATACTGGGAAGAAACGCAATAGGGAGATTATGGAATTATTCACCTAAATGAGCATCGTAAACCTATGGTTCATGTCATCAACATGTTTACTGTGGGAAAAGATGCTAAGGGTACCTTGGATACAATGAATTAGGAGACTCACTTCTGTATGAGACAAGTCATAACACATTTAAGCAAGCATACCTGATTGGGAAAAAAAGAACAAGGACTTTTGAATGGAGAGATTCTTTGATTTATGCAGGAAAGTTTTTTTTAATAGGTATTTTAAATAAGTGAATCAAATCAGTTTAGTATGGCAAGGTGCCTTTACCAAAGGCAAAATATGTTTTTAAAAAATTAGTTGACATGGGACTGAGGAGAATTTGTTGGCATATAGTATCAGAGTCCAGGAAGGAAGCAAAGAGCTGTTCCAATTGAGTAATTTGAAGAAAAAATTTAAAAGGAATGATTTAAACATATTTGGGCTATAGGAAAGACACATTTGGGGTTGGTCACAATCTATAAAGGGTTACTTCCATATGCTTGAATGGGGAGGAGAAACCCCATTCAGGTGACAGCTGGCTGAAACACTCTCAGAGGAGGGTCATGGAGGAGGGTCAGTCAAAGTGTCATGGAGGAGAGAATGCATGCAGGGGAGAAGTCAGAAGAATAAATATGTGACTTTATGTTTCTTTCCATTTTAATATTTCTTCCTCTCTCCTTCACTTCCTCCCATCTCCTCTGGTAGGAAATTATGACCCTTTCTTCTCTCTGAAACACTACCACTAGATTAACTCAAATGAAAGCTGGCCATTAAAGGAACCAATTGACACTCAACCTCCAAGGAGACAGACCCAGGCAGAGAGGCTGGAGAATAGTTCAAGAGAGTAAACAGAAAATATTCATTATACACAGGTGGAGAACAACAGCCACCCCTAACTGTATTGTCATTTATACATTAGGAGACTGGCCTCTTTGAGTTCAGAGAATATATCTATTCCTAGCAACCTAGTACAATCCCAGGGCCTTGAACAGTGCTTGGCCCATGAAAGTTTCTTAATAAATAGGTGTTGAATGAGTAAATAATTAATGACTTTACTTGCCTCTCTGTGGACTCTCCAGGAAGTGCCTCCATGGGAATACCTCTTCTTCTTCCACTGGAGAAGGACCATTCCTCTCTCTTGTAACAAAGTGGCACAGATATTCCTCATGAGCACAGATACCTGGGAGAGCTGGGAGAGGCTGATACTGTCCAAGAACCCAGCAATGTACTGCAAAACCTCCAGGGGCAGGCTGGTTAGAGAGTTCTGGTTTCTTCTTGCAGGGCCTGAGAGTTGGTTACTTTTCCTTCCCTCACTGAGCTCTGAAGCAACCTCTGGCTTGATGGCAAAGGTCTGGAGCTCTTGACTGTAGATCACTTTTGCCTTTTGTCCTGGAGGACGGAAGTGGTTTTGAATAAATGTACATCCCAAGTAGGCAAGGGGGCATCGATGTTGGAACCAGCCATTGAGACACGATTGAATGTCTGTGTGGACATTTTTAAAATGTAGGGGGAATTCATCCCGCCTGAAGAATTTGTTGCAAGTGAACGTGAAGGCAGAACTGCTCTTGTTGTGTCTCCTGGTCACACACTCACTGTGCAGTTCCACATGAAGCCCCCTTGCTTGGGCAGTAGGTAGGTCAGCTAGCACTGTGCCTGAGGAAAACTGTTCTGGGTCAAAATTGTATGTCTGTGTAGCAAAGTCCATGAAGAGCCCATCAATGCTCCTGGATTCGGAGATGATGTGACCTTTGAGTTCTCTTTCCAGAGCACACAGGAGGGTGGTCTTGATGAGATCTGATTTTGGTAGCTCCTCCACAGTGATCCCTAAATCTGAAGTGTCTACTGCCTTGTGTTCACTGGGCCTGCAGCTCAACATGGCATCGCCAACACGTGCCCGCTTCCCACAGTAGCTCACGGGAACTTTGAAGGTATACACAGTCTTAACTTCCTGAGCCTCAAGGTTGCCATAAACGAAGTCTCTCTCCTTAGGGGTACAAGCAGGCATCTGACCAAAGTGAATAAGCATTCTCCCATTGTGCACCAGATACATGTTATAGTCCTTGGCATCCACGGCTGTTTTGAGTCTTTCCAGAACACCGTCCTGCCAAGGGGCAAGCCCAGTTGTTTCTACTGCTGCTTTAAGATCCCCCTGTTGCTGGTTTTCCTGTGGTTCTTTCCCGTTGGCATTACCCTCTCCTACCATGTTGTTGCTGCTGGAAACCTGTTCTTTGTCAGGAACCTTTGTGCTTTTGCTCTCACAACTCCCTGATGAATTGGTTAAAGCAGAAGCTCCATGTTCTTTGCTGAACATATTTTCCCACTTGTCAAACATGGCCAGATCCATCCCTTCTTTGGTTTTGGCTAATGCTTCTCTTACTTCTTGGCTCAGCTCTACCATCTCTCCATTAGTAGCTGACAGAGAGTCACGGGGTAGCAAACCAGCATCCATTCCGCCCACTGCGCCTCCCATTTCCTTCCAGCTGGCTTCCCCATTCATAGTTGGTTCCAGCTCTGTGGGCTCTCTAGTTTCTGGGAAAAGTTCCACCATTTTCAAAGACCTGAAAAGGACCCTCTGGTCCTGGAGGGCCAGGGCTGTGTCCAAGCACTCCTCGCTGGGGGTTTCCTTCATGATATTCGCATGGAGGGGTGTTTCAGAGTCCACGTTTGGCCAGCGGTTCCACTCCATGGAGCAGCATACCACGCTGGCAGGGCACACCTGCAGGTGCTTGGCCAGTTTGTGGCGGGACATAGAAAGGGGGCAGCCATATTCCGAGTTGAGGCACGGAACCTGTTCTAAAGGGCAAAGGAGCTCATGCTCTGCCTCTTTGCACATGTGGAAGATGGCACCACAGAGCAGACGGCAGTTTATCACCAGGCAGGAGACCTCGGGCTCCACAGGAGTGCGGCAGTGCCGGCTGAAACATCCCTCACAATGCTTGTGCTGCCCAAGAGGAGGTCTGTGCACCCGACCCTGTAGACACCAAAGGCAAGGGGAAAGAGAAACCGAGAGAAGCGCTATGCATGACTGTTTCAATTTCCTGTTATGCGTGTCTAATTTGGGAACCTTAAAATAATAGCCAATCAAAAAAAAAAAAAAAGAGTCATAATACCACTGCTCAGAAATAACAGTTAACAACCTTTTTTTTCTTTATTTTCCAGTAGTTTATTCTATGTACATGGTAGGTGTGTTTAAAACTGAAAAAGCAAATGTAATTTGACAACTTATTTTCGAGTTGTGAATTATAGGTGATTTATATCTCACAGTTTATACTATGAGTACAATCATACAGTATTACGAATACGATTTTTAGCTTGATATTATACTATGAGACTATGCTGTTTTCTTAGTTATTCTTTGCAAACTTTCTTCATAACTGCAGTGTAACCTTCTACAATGAGTGTGCTGTCATATCATCAAGTACCACCAGAGGGCGTTCTGTGAGGCCGAGGGCCATGTCTAGTTTTGTTCACATCTGTTCATAGCACATTTCACAGGAGTTGGACCACAGTACTCAGTTTTACCTGCCGACTGGAGAAATGGTTAACCATTTAGATAACCGCTGGATTTTTTTTTTTAATTTTTAGTAAAACTCTTTATTCTGAAATCTTTCTCAGCTCTGTCCTTTCCCCTACTCCGTATCAATTTTGTCTGGGTTCTCCTCTCGTATTTCTAGCTTGGCAAAAAGCCACTGAGTGTCCTCAAACCTTAAGGACAAGTGTGCCAGCTGTTTGGATGACAGGCTTAATGAAGCCAGATCGGAACTTCTGAAAAATGAAGTTCCAATAAGTACCTGGTACTTACCATAACTTCCTAATTTCTTCTTTCTTTGTAATTCTAGAGGAAAATAAAAATATATATATATGAATGATTAGTAGTAAAAGTACTGTGAATATCTATATTAACAGCAGGGATCAAAAAGACTTCATCTACTCTCTCTTTAATTCCTTCTGCCAGCCTGGGGATAAATAACATTGCCCCCACTTTACGGAGAAAAGGGAGTTTGGAGAAGTTAGATAACCTATCCACTGTTATACAGCTGCTAAGAATCAGGTTCCAATGCAGCTTTTGCTGGCGCATGGTCTAGTCAACCACCTGTAAGGTGTTGTCGAAAGAAGCCCACACAGCAGAACCTCTTTGAAAAGAGGTTTACTGGAGCCACTTGCTGGAAAGGCTGGCCTAACACCACCCACACTGCCCTCTGAGGGGCATCTTACCAGTTAAGGGATGTGTAACTTCAGCTTTCTGTAACATTTCTCCAATTGTCTACCAACAATTTCCTGGCATTCCAAATCAGCCCCTCCCCACCACAAATACATCTGGCCTTCTCTTCCACTGGTGCTTCTGTTCTACTAAGAGATTAGCTTGACCTGGATAGTATACCGGTACCTATAAAATACCAGTCATCCTCATTGAGCTTGGTGTATTCAGCTGATTGTGGCTAGAGCAGAGATCAACCCCTCCACTGCCCCAGAAGCAAGCTGAGTAGGGAACTGGCAGGCAAGAGATAATCCTGCCTTCAGGGGAAGTCAGCTCCTCAGCTCTGCTCATGTGGAATGTGTGCCAGATCTTACATTCAGAGACATTCCCCCAGTCTGAGGGAACAAATGTGTGTGTTGCAGGCATGCTCTTGGATGGAAGGGCTCTAAGCATGATCATTCTAATTCTTCAGCATTATGAAGGCTCACAGAATGCTGGAAACCTAACTGCCCTCATCTTTTTGAAGTTAACAAAAGGGAGGAAAAATGCATGTGGACAACAAGTGTGCCTTTTTTGTTGTTTGTTTATGCTGCTATTTTAAAACTTTCTCCAAAGCAGCCCTGGAACTACCCCCAGTGAATGAGAGAGGAAGAGGTCTGAATAGAACACAGTGAGTAGAGGCCACTCTTTGGAGTCATTTGACAAAAGGAAGGAGAAGGATAAAAATAGCCTTCAGGTATAAAAATCCATATCTGTACCATTTGCTGTATATGTGGAAGAAAATTTTCCCATTGAAATAAAGGGTAATCCAAAATTCCTAATAGTCTAATGACGGGTGACGGGGTACCCGCCAAATAGATTCCCCTCAGAGGGTAGTGTGGATGGTGTTAGACCACCACCCTTTCCAGCAAGTGGCCCTAATAACCTCTCTAAGACCACTTGCATGGGCTTCTTTCAACAACACCTTACAGGTGGTTGACTAGACCATAGGCCAGCAAAAGCTGCATTGGAAACTGATGCCTTAGCAGCTGAATAACCGCGGCTTACCTGGGACTCTCCTGGTTTTAATACTTACTCCTTCTTGCCATTTAGAGTTCAGCTCACAGGTCACCTCCCCAAAAAGGCCTTACCTGACACCCTCTTTATAAAATAATGAACACTCTCATGCATTAGTCAAATGATTTTTGACAAGTCATTTAATCTCCTAAAGTGAATTTATTTATCCATATAATAGGGTCCAATAAAAACCCATATGATTGTGATAAATGAGATAAAGTAGGAAAAGTGTCTAAATATGAGTCACCCAATTGTTAGTCTTCCTCTATGAAGAAGGTCACTCTCTCATGGTCACCTCCCTTCTCCAAGCCTTTATTTCTTGCCATTGCATCATTCCCACAAGCCCTGGCTGGCCTTTCAATTCTCAGTTCTCCCTCACTCCAATATGTCTTACATTCCACTGCCAGTTTAATAATCTTCATACCTCATTTTTAAACAGTTTACCTTGCTCCTTTAAGAATGTGAGTTGTCTGAATCTCCCCCACTAACTTTTGACCCCCAGTAATTACACAAACCATTCATTCCTTAAGCACTCAGAAACTCAAACAGTTCTGCCTCAGCCTGGAGGGCCTTCTCAAGGCCAGAAAGGTAACTTGAGGGCATCTTTATTTCCTAGACCCAAGCTTGCAGTTTTTATTATTTACCTGCATTATACTGTTTATTTAAAAAAATAAAATAAAATGGAAAGCACCAATCATGACTCAGCTTCTCTCTTGCCATTGGCTGCAGGAGTCCACACAGCTGAAGATGTGGGTGGTGTGGGGGCCTGAGGCGTTCTGATGAAGAGCGTGAAGGAGCAGAAGGGCTGAGGCCACTGGGCTATGTTCTGGTGGCAGAGAAGAAGCTCACCCCACTGCAGGAATGCCTGTCAAGGAGCTGGGGGATGTTCCTGAGGACTGAGAGTGAGTACAGTGCACTGCACACTGCTTCTATCAGCATTTGTCGAGTAAGACAGAACTCACTGAATTTGAACAGAACCCTAAAGAAGGCAGAAATTTGAAAGAACTGTGAAAGCAATTTGAAACAAGTTTATGTGGAAAATATAGTGATGTCAGATAATTAATTGGGCGGGTTTTTAGGGAAGAAAACGTTTTCAATTTTAATAGGATCAGGTAACTCAATAAAAAAAAGGGCTTCAGGCCCTCCCTGGTGACGCAGCGGGTTGAAGCACAGTACTGAGAAGCTAAAGCCACTGCAGCATGAGTTCGATTCCCGCCTGCCCCGGAGGTGACCACATGGCGTGGCAGACCTCTCCTGACCCGCCCGCTGCTCCCCTCAGCAGTGTACTTCATAGATCTGCCTGTTCTGCTCCCCACTCTGTCTCTGGTGAAGCCTCTCGCCGTCCCTGAGCCTCTGGCCTGTACCCCAGTTCTGCATGCACAAATAAATAAATCTTTAAAAAAAAAAAAAGACTTCAGCTGGTCAGAGTTATAACAATCTGCATGCTGTCAGAATTGCTTTTAATGAGGTATACTACTTATTCTTAACTCTTACAGTCATAAAATCAGAAATCTGGATGAGGGAGGTAGTCAGAAATTCTGTACTTTGAAGCTTCCCCAATTTCAACCTGCATAGGAATCACCCTGCAATCTTGTTAAAATGCAGATTCTAATCTGGCAGGACTGAGGCAGACCTGAGTCTTCTCTAATAACAGTCTCAGTCAGTAGTGATGGTCCAAGGACCTCACTGTGAAAGGAAAGGGTCTAATCTAACCTCTTCATCTCCTATAGGAGAAACTAAGGCCCACAGAAGTAAAGTATCTCACTATTAGCCCCAGAGTCTCTGGCTCTACTCATTTACTTTTGTTTTCTTTGACCTCACTGTAGGGTAAGCAAAGTTATCAGGCCTTTTATACCATTAGACTCTGTAGCTGTCACCTGTGGCCTTGACAGTGTTACTGCAGGGGCACTTGGAAGTGTGAGCATGTTTGCTTGTGGACACCTGGGCACACATAAGTGTGCACAACTGAGCCTAGAGGCTGGGCTAAAGGAGGACAAGAGCATGACTGCAGAAGAGGTAAGAGAGAGACAGGGTAAAGGTGCCATCTGCGGCAACACGGATGGAGCTGGAAAAGATCATGCTTAGTGAAATAAGCCAGAAAGAAAGAGAAAAATACTGGATAGGCTCACTCATAGCAGGAGCGTAAGGAATCCAGAAAAAAAAAACATATCTATATCTATATCTATCTATCTATCTATCTATCTATCTATCTATATATGGAGAGAGAGAGAGAGTAATTGCAATAAAGTAAAAAAGAACATCAACTAACAACTATAAACGAGAGACATTCTATAGGGGAGGGAAGGGGAACAAGATAAAAACTGGGGGAAGCACACGGGACTATGGTGATGGCACATGGGTGAAGTGGTGGTGGGAAGTCCACGGGGATTACAGCTGAGATGAAAAATGTGCAAAATGAAGAATGTAAAAAGAAAAAAAAAGGTTCACGGGTCTGCCCACCTCCCAGACCCGTGCCTGCCTTCATGCTTTCCAGCCTCCCTGCCTGGTGTGCCTGTGTGCCTGGCTCTTTGAGAGAACATTAAAACCTGAATGTCCACCCAGGCCTCCAGGACTCTTTGTCCATCTGCCCAAATCCACAGTAAACCTGCCTGTGCATGCTTGCACAAGACTCACTTGGATGTTTTACTGCGATTCTACTGAAACAGCATCACTACACAAGCCACCTGCACGTTAGTGGCCAAGGGCATGAGGGCAGCCTGGGTGGCACCAAGAGCAAAGGAGGACAGAGCTTGGAAGGTGGGAGGATGAGGGTGACGTGGCGACCAAGTGTCACCTGCCAACTAGGTCGCAAAAAGGCAGGTAGCAAGAATATTTAAATTCCTGACACCCCCCCACCACCACCACCAAAATTACTGACCCAAGTCAAAAAGATTGGCATTAACAGAGAATAGATTTAACACTCTTTGCTAATTTTTAAGTTAAGTAGGCAAATAGGGTTGATGTCAGGATGATATTTTTAGGCAAGGGGCCTATCAGCACACCTCACATGATGTCAGTGACTATTTTGCCTCCTCATGTGGCTAGCCCTGGTAATTATTTATTCCTGAGCTTTAACTTCAATGAAAGTGACGAGGTCAAAAGTTAAAGGTCAAAGGTATTCTTTAATTCGTAACCAGTTAACCAGCCAATTAACTACTTCCTTTCATGATGTATTATTAGCCTATTTATTTCCCTGCCATGGAGATATTTAATTGTAGGGAACGAAAATGTATAAAGTTATTTAAGTAATCCTTTACCTCTTGGGATTTTAACACAAGTTAACTGAGGATTATCTCCACATCTGATTCCATGATCCTGGGCTTCTGGTCAATGACTCCAGTATCTTCACTATACCCTAAAAATATAATAATTTCCCCAAAACCTATTCAAACGCCATATGCAGTTCTTCATATATGCTAGAAATAGCTCTACTGTTATCAGCATTTTAAAATACTCTTTCATTTTTGGTCAGTAAAGTGCTTAATCAGCTGAATTATGTGGGTTTAACTGTGACTTAGCCTGAGTCACTCCTCAACCGATCTGTCCCACTCTCATTCAGCCAGTACTCCAACATATACTTTGAAAAACCTTGGTTTTCAAGATTAAATGAAGCTATTAAGCATGTCTGCACAGTGACTTTGCATATGCATATGAAAAAGCATAATTATATCTCAGAAACCTATAACAAAGCTATGGGAAGCCTCTGGAGCTTACAAAGGTAGGAAGGAACAGGAGTTAAGAAATAGGAGTCGGTCTCTTTTGACTTGGCATTTGTGAGTTTAGCCTGCACACTTCAAAGTTCTGAGTATACAGAATTCCTTTTGCTTTGTAGGCCACTTCACAGGATGTCCTTAGCTGAACTTTGTACTGTAACACTAAAGTGAAGCCCAGAGGCAAACAAGAAGACAAACACTGCCGGCTTATCCCTGCTGATTTTTGCCTATGCATGCAACACTATGCACTTATTCTAAAAGCTAGAAATTATCCACATACATTTTAAAGCTTTCAGTACCTCAGGAATCATGAATCATTTTACTGTTGTCTCTGGAAATACAAGCTTCACGTCTGTAATGACATTCGGTTTGGATGCAAAAGCTTAAGTAAGTTACTTAGCTTGTGAAATATTTTTAGTTCTAGTGCATGAATGCATTTTGGATTCAAGAGAGCTGGTGAGGAGAGAGCCATATTTGGGGAATATTGTTAGAGAAAAACAGGTCTAAAACTCTGCGGGCAAAGTTTAATCGTGCATGATGTCAGTAATGATTGTGCTCCATTAACAGGAGCATTGACAAGGGGTGACATTTAAATTACAGGAGAAAGGCTTACAATTAACAAAACAAATTCTGACTGGTGAAATGATCACAGCATTTGGACTTAAGAAAATAGAAATCCTTAAAAGAGAGAGAGAGGGAAAGAAAGAAAAAGAAAATAGAGATCCTGGGTTCCGGACTTTCCACCATCTCACTCTACCTGCCCTCCCCCTCACCACTGTGTCATTTAGAGATACCACAGAACTCCTCTCGTTCATTGTAGAACAAAGAACCTAACCTGTCAGAAATCACGTAGTGTCATCCAGCTTTTCAAAAGAGGGACTTACACATTAGCTGGGTGTCATTCTCAATGCAACGTCTCCAACAACGTCAACATGTAACTACCTTGCTTAACAACCTGGTTGCTCAGAGCAAAAAGGTTACGTGCTTGCTGCTCAGCCTCCTCCTGCACTTTCACTTTCACGCAGGTGGTGCACCTGCTCATGTCTGAAAGCTTACCTGAGTAGCCTGGGTGGAGTCAGCATCTGCTGCACCCGTCTCTTGAGTGAGCAAGTAGATTTGAGGAGGTGACTGGGGGTGCCTCAGCTGCAGCATAGAACAGCGTTCTGCTGGGGAGGCAAGGAAAGGAGAGAAAACTTCAACAGAAATAGTTCAAGTGTTTTGAAGTTAAAAATAAAACTATATCACAAGGGGCAGTGTGACCAGGCTCAGCTTACGATTTTTTTCCTCCCCCTGTATTTATCAACGCTCAGTCTCTACTGGAGTGGGATTTAGCAGGGGAAGCCAGAAGGGAAGCAGGGTTTTATACCAATGTGCTGCCTTTCCCTGGAGGAAGGAGGGAAATCCTTTGCAGAAAGATCATTTTCAAGGCCATAGAGACCTCTCCGAGCCCAGGGCAGCGAGCAGGCCCAGCTGTGCTCTGGTGTCTGGACGAGCATTCAGGACAGATTGCTGCTCTAATTATAACTGTGCTTTTCATCTAAACCATCACTGGCTGAAACAGCAACTTGTGTAAGTGACACAAGGTTCCCTCTGTTCTTCCTATTTCTTGCCATTAAGTGGCTCCTGGCCCTCTTTTTTCCCAAGTGGTTAAGAAAGGGAACATTTGTAACTCAGAAATCAGGTGTAGAGTAAGTCCAGTTTAAGAGAACTCGAGTAGGTAGGAGACTTAGGGATTGTTTAGTCCAGTTCTTAGTATTCCTTATGATGTAAGTAAGTACATCATATTTATTTTTATTTCTGTAAGTATGGTAGTTCTGTCTCATTTTTTATTTCTGATTTCAGTAATTTGAGTTGTCTTTTTTATTTTTTGGTCATTTTGGTCATTTTGTTGACCCTTTAAGCATTTGGTTTCATTGATTTTTCTCTATTGTTTTCTTATTTTGAGTTGATTTATTTCTACCCTACTCTGCATGCTTTGACTTTATTTGCTCCTCTTCCTTTTTCTAGGTTTCTAAGCTGAAAAATTATTGATTTGTAGATAAAACTATAGAGATAGTAAACGGAACCACTGGTTGCCATGGGTTGAGAGAGAGAGGAAGGTATGTCTAGGGAGAGCACAGAGCAATGTTTTTTCTGAACAATGAAATAATTCATTGTACTTTTTAACTGAGTTAACATTGGTTTATTCTATATTATCTAGATTTATAAACTCATACCTCTCCAGATGTATGTTTCAATACCTACAGCCCAAACACCCATAGTCCTCCACCAGCATCCATTGCGGTCTTCTTCCCCTCCCCGTCCTCTACACTTCCCCTCCCCCTCTGGTACCCTCAATCTTACTTTCAGATTTCTAGAATTAGTTTTTATTATTATCTGTAGCTTTGTTTTGATTCTCTGTATTTCACTTATGAATGAAAACATTTAACATTTGTTTCACTTCTTTTGACTTATTTTACTTAGCATAATCCCCTCCAGTTCTGT